AATAAAGCTCACATACATCCTGGCCAAGGGTGGAGGCTCACACCTGTAATCCCAGCGCTATGGGAGGCAGAGGCAGGAGGATCAGTGGAGCCCAGAAGTTTCAGGCTGAAGTGAGCTATGATGGTACCATGGCACCCAGCCTGGGAACCAGAGCAGGAAGACCCTGTCTCAAAAAAGAAAACGACGACAGAAAAAAAGAAGATTGCACATGCCAAGGGAGTCAAAAGTGCTTCGGGGGTGGGGTGGGGTGGGAAGTAGGGCAGAGTGAAAGGGAAGAGGGTGTGAGGACAGATAGCTCTTTTTAAACTGCTAGAGACAACATTCTAAACACAAAACAAGAAAGAACAGTGTTTAAAAGGTGTCATCAGAGCCGAGTGGGTGGCTCACTCCTGTAATCCTGGGGCTTTGGGTGCTTTTTTTCTACAGAAAAAATAAAAACCAGGTGTGGTGGCGCGCACCTGTAGTCCCAGCTACTCGGGAGGCTAAGGTGGGAGGATCCCTTGAGCCTGAGAGTCTGAGACTGTAGTGAGTCATGATCACGCCACTGCACTCCAGCCTGGGGAACAGAGCGAAACCTTATCTCAAAAAAAAAAAAAAACCCCAAAAAACAACAACAAAAAAAACGGCGTCATCGATACCACCATGTCTCCTTTCTGCTCAGTATCAATTATAAAATGAACTTCAGCCCCCAGAGTACAGGTGATCTAGGGTGCAGTGGGCTAGAGTGCTGGAGTTGGCCCTTACTGCTGGGAACTGGCCACTGTGGGAGCATTCACACCATGAGAACAGAGAATCCGCAAATGCTGGAAATCAGGCACCACCCCCTCCCCTGCCCTGCCCCTCCCCTCCCCATGACAGCCAATTTCCCAGCATATCACCGTCACCAAAGTCATGTCAGAGCATCACAAATACCACAAGAGAAGGAATACCTGAAGCCCTCCGAGACAGCTTTGGGGCACAAAGCTCCTTAACCCCCAGACTTTGTAGGACACTGAGCAAAGCTGTCCTAAAGACCACCACCTTTGGCCAGATCAGGATAGAAGCCACCCTGCCCCCAGGGCCAGCCACTTCCCCTCCAGAGCCTCTCTCTGTGCACAGGGCTGCTGTGGGCTGAAGCCAGCATGGGCCCTTTCTGCATCTCACACCAGAGGCAGCGTCAGAATCTTATCTTCACCGCTCCTGCCTCCCAGCACAAGCCACGTTCACCTGGCAGACGTCATGTCACTCGGGAAATGTTTTAAAGGCGCATCTGCCGTGCCCCAGACAGAAAGCAGCCCTCCCCGCACTGGCCCGGCTCTTACCGCGGCAGGCTCAGGACAGAGACCCGGCAAGTCCTCTCTCCCCTTTCTTCCGCCTCATTTTTATGTGGCGTGTGAACCACTCCCTCCCCTGCTCCGTCACAAACAAACAGGGAGAGAAATGAAACTACTTGATCTGGCCACAGAAATGAAACTGAATTTTCACCACGCTCTCCAGATGACTCAGACCATGGTCCTCACACTCGAGCTCCATCCAAATCCTGGGAGAGCTGTGAAGACGGGTGGCTGCCCCCTCTCCCCCATCACCCTGACAGTCTGATCTAGCAGGTCTGGGTGGGGCCTGAGAATCAGCATTGCTAATAGATTCTGGGGGAGGCTGGCATTGGGGCAGCTCCGAGTGGCTCGGCCACTGGAAGGCTCTGCACTAACAGCGACCAGTGACCAGTACTACCTGTGTGGCTCTGAAATGTGAGTACTGCGATCAAGGAACCGGCCTTGGAACTCCATGCGACTTGAATGAATACCTGTGTGTGGCTCAGGTGCAGGACCTCACTGACGCAGCGCTGTTACAGCCGGGGGACGTGGTCTCAGGTACATGACCTGCAGGGGCTGAGCTGTCCTGCTTAGCTTCATGCCTGAGTCACACCTAATGAATGTCACCTCTCTCCTCGTTAGGTGTGGAAAACTCAAAGAAGAGGGTCCACAGCTTTCTGCAAGCTCCCGTGCTTGAGATCCCTGGCTCATAACCAAGATGGCTTTCTTGCCATTGGCAATAAGGAGGCCCCAGGACAAACCCAGGCTCCGGACCTCAGCCCCAGCGGCTGCACGTCACCTTTCTGGTCCTCAGCTACTTCACCTGCAAAAGGGAAGGTGCACAACCGCGTGGTCCCAAAGGCTTCCTGCTCTGCGACCAAAGTCAAGGATGGCCAGGCACTGCCATCACCAGAGCCAAGAGGTCTGGGAACCTCCAGGAGGGGCCCTCCAGACCCCGGGGAGGGGACCAAGAGGATGCTGGGAGGGAGGAAGTCGGCTCTCAGCTCTCCTTTCTACCCATGATCCTCTCCCAAGCAAAAATCAACACTATACATTTTACAAAATAATCCTGAGCACCTCTTTGCTAATTCACTGTAGTGACTTCCCTTGAGGGCTTAGCTTTAAAGAGCATGTGTAGAGACTTAAAAATGTTTTTCAAAACCTTGGCATTCGCAATATTAATACCGGGAGATAATCATCAGGGTCACCTGTCCCTGAACCAGTTCTCCTGCTGAGAGACTGGGGACAGAGGCTGAGAAGTGAGGGGAGGAATCTTGAGTATCAGACTTGGCAGGGTGATATGGCATTTGGTTTCTTTAGGAATGTTTTTCACAACAGGGCCTGGGCCAGTCTACTGTGTGCTTCCAGGAAGGCACAAAGAAAGGCCCCAGAAAAACCGGACAGAGGGACAAGAGCAGCCCAGGCCAGCTGAGGGGACCCTCCACCCTCTGTCAAGGCAGCATCCCTCTCCTGCACGCCCCTCACCAGCAGCCCTGGGAAGAACCAGAGGTGCCTGCACACGCGAATGTCAGGGCCAGGGTTCCTTGTGTTCTGAGCACCAGGCGCTGAGGATGGAGGAATGTCCTACACAGTATCCAAGCGCAGGTGCCGAGGCGGGAAAGACACGGCTGCTCAGGCCTCTGTCACAGCCGCCAGGCAGGGCTCTTCCCTCAGCTCCACGTCAGGGAGCTTCACAGTGCGCAGCGTGGTAAAGAGGGGAGGTCCAGAAGCCCCAGTGCCTGCCATCTGCCCTGCCACACTGACTGTATGGAAAGCGCCAGCCCCTGTGTGCTGATGAAGTCCCTGGCCACCTGGAAGCACCTGCAGCACCTGGGGCCGTCCGGAGCCGGTGTGCACCGACCGTCCCACGGCCTCTCCAATCACAGGAGAGATGGAGCAAATGCTCCCCTGGATTAACAGGATGAAGGAAACGGTAGAGTGCTGACAGGCAGAGTTCTTACCTGGGGTGTGCCCCTCCCCGCAGAGCACAGGAGCAGTGGGTGCACCTTGGAGTGGAACTCCACGCTCTCATTGTCCGTGTGACCTTGGTTCTTTGGTGTTTTTGTTTTTGTTTGGTTTGGTTTGGTTTTTTTGAGATGGAGTCCTGCTCTGCTGTGCAGGCTGGAGTCCCGTGGTGAGATCTTGGCTCACTGCAACTTCCGTCTCCCGGGTTCAAGGGATCCTCCCTCCTCAGCCTTCCAAGTAGCTAGGATTACAGGCGTGTGGTACCACACCCAGCTTTTTTTTTTTTTTTTTTTTTTTTTTTTTTTTTTTTTTGTATTTTTAGTAGAGATGGAGTTTCACCATGTTGGCCAAGCTGGTCATGAACTCCTGACTTCAAGTGATCCGCCCACCTTGGCCTCCCAAAGTGCTGGGAATGCGGGTGTGAGCTGCTGCGCCTGGTCCGGCTCTGTGGTGTTTAGCCTCTCTGCATCACACCAGCTCCAGTGGTTTAAATCATCATGACCCTGTCACAGCGCGGATGTGAGGGGTGACCAGCAGGGTCCACATTGGGCAGGGAATGTGATTCTTATGTGGACAGCCCCCTTGCCTGGTGTCCGCCAGTGGGGGACTGGGCTGGGGGCTGGCAGTGCCCAGTACCTTCAGAGATGCAATGACAGTCTCCACACTGAAGACCACATTGTGGGGAAACATCAGCGGGACGGGGATGTGAATGGCAATTCACAGTCCTGTGCCCTGGGTGGGGACGCAGCAGTGAGCTGCAGGGCGGCAGAGGGCTGAGGGGCCATCACTGGGTAGGAGGGGCCATTGTCACAAGAACTTCACTGCCCAAAGCCAGATCCCTGGGCGATGCCTGGCCAGGAGTGCCCCTGAGGCCTATTCCATGATGGTGAATTAAGATAAACAATGTTACAAAACTATAGCAATTTCAGCCTGAATAAAAATGTGCTGTTCTCCTTTTTTTTAAATACATACACAAAAATATCTATGCATTCCTAGGAGCTTTCACTTATAAGGGCCTATATTCATTTTGTGGGGCTGCCATCACAAAGAACCACACCTGAGTGGCCTAGACAGCAGATGTCTCTGCTCTCACAGCTCTGGAGGCTGGAAATCCCAAATTGAGGTGTAAGGAGGGCTGTGCTGCCTCGGAAGTCTCTAGGGGAAACCCTGTTCCAGGCCTCTCTCCAGCTTCCCGAGGTTTGCACCTGACCCACCGTTTCAGCACGTGTGGGACATCCCGGACTCACGGATCTATTACTGCATCTTCTAGAGACTGAGGTGTTCAGTTGCCCTCCTGAGAGCAGCGCCTCCCTCCCCACCCTGCTCAACAGCCTGGCATGAAGGCAGACTGTGTCTGGTTCACTATTGTACCCCCGGTGTCAGAGGTGGGCGGCACCCAGAGTAGTGGAATGAATGAATACATTCACAGGCAGGAACAGTTCAAGAGCCCAGCTTGAACAAGCACATTACCTAAGCCCTCGGAACGGCTGCTAATTATCCCAGCAGAAGATGACTGTCGGAAACCAGGATGTCCTTGGTGATAATGGAATAAAGGTTTTCTCTTTGTAGAGTTGTCTGGACCACACGGGGGTCACACTTAGATCCGATCATAACATGGCTTCACCTGAACGAGGTATTTCTCCTGACCCTCTTTCCAGCTTGAATCACATCTTTCCCCTTAAGAATTTCCATTCATACCAGTATTTTATATAGTGAAGATGTCAATTAGCAGGAAACTAAAATGAATTTCCATTCATTTTAATTTCCTGCTAATTGACATCTTCACTATATAAAATATTGGTATGAAAATACTGCGTACCAAGATTTGATACAACTAGCAAATGTCCATTGGTTTACAACAAACCCAAAATAGTCATCAAATCTGGACTGCTGGATTTAGAAAAATAAGATTCTTGAGTGATTCCAGCTGTACCTGTTTATACAGAACACATTTATTAAGGACCCTGGGGTGTCAGCTTGGTTCTTTGGGTATGCAGCCTTCTATCTGGATCTCTGCTGGCCAGCCAGAATATCTGTTGTTCTTAGTATCAGAGTGGTTGATCTGTGCAAGGGAAAGAAGAATTTTGTTTATTCATTAATCTAATGATAAAGTATTTAATCAGTGTGAGCTGTGAGGAATCATGCAAACACAACCACTTCCTAGATTTGGATTTGCTCCAGCCTAAGCTGGGTGTTTGATTTCCAATACATTTCTTAATAATATATTTTAAAATTGATATATAATAGGCAGCAATTGCTGGCCCCAGTATATAAAAACGTATATAGTTTGGGGATATATGTTCTAATGTGATAGATCCATATCATGTGTAAATATCAAATCAGGTTAACTGGGATATCCATTACCTTAAATTACCTTTTCTTTATGAGAGGAACATTCAAATTATTCTCCTCATTTTGCAATGCACAATAGATAATATTTAACTATAGTTGCCCTAATGATCTGTTGAACACTAGGTCTTATTTCTTCTATCTAACTGTATATTTATACCCTGTTTCTTAATAATATTTGAAGTAGGTGTTAATGCAACTCTGGAACTTTCTGCAATGATGGAAATGTTCCATAATCCACCTGTCAAGTGGGGTAGCCCCAGCCACACTTGGTTATGGAGTACACATGGTCCTGACTCACAGTGGATTGACTTTACAATGGTGCAAAGGAGGCAATACATTCAGTAGAAATTATACTCCTGGGACCCACACAACCATTCTGTGTTTCACTTTCAGTGCAGTGTTCAATAAATTCCAGGAGACACTCAACACTTCGTTGTAAAATAGGCTTTGTGCTAGGTGATTTTGCCCAAATGGAGGGTACTGTAAGTGTTTTGAATGTTTAAAGTAAGCTATGCATACCTAACTTTTTACAGGCTATTTCCAGTTAATTTGTACCTATAAATAAAAATAAAACATAGAAACCTTACAATCCTTGATACTATAGTTGTTCTATGTACATACATTGAGCCCTCCCAGACAATGTTGTATTTAATAATCACATATTTTGAAGAACTTAGGAGCATAAAAACAGTGTCTCTTCTTTCCCTTGCACAGACCAACTGCTCTGATACTAAGAACAGACATTCTCGCTGACCAGCAGAGATCCAGATAGAAGATGTGCTAAATGCATTTTCAATTTACAATATTTTCAAATACAATGCTTTTATTGTGATGTAAGCTGAAGAACATCTGTACTTGAAATGTGAATAGTGCAACTGAGAAACCAAATTTTGAATTCTATTTAATTTTAATAAATTTAAGTATAAAATGTAAATTTAGCTAGTAGCCACCATATTGGACAGTGTAGCTATAATGTTTAGGTTTCAACTCCGGGAATAAAACTCTGTAATATTTTTTTCCCCAGAGTTCTTGTAGCATTCCTTGCTCAGCAAATGTGTATTTACCCCCAAGTGGGTTTAGTTCTCTATATTGTCAACTCTTTCACCTTAACATGATGCTTAAATAAAGAAAGGTGCATTTTATTCATAACCTTGGAATTCCAGTAATATATCCCTTTTTACATAACAGATTGACTGGGATATAATTCACATAGTATAAAATCCACCAATGTAAAGTGTACAATTACATAGTTTCAGTGTGGTCACAAAGCTGTGCAACCATCATGATGGTCAATTTTAAAACATTTTCATCACCCAAACAAGAAACCACATACCCATTCGCAGCCACTCTCCTTTTCCCCAGCTCTAGGCAGCCACTAATCTACTTTCTGGCTCTGTGGATTTTCTCATTCTGAAAATTTCATATGAACGGAATCACACAATATGTGACCTTTTGTGTTTGTTTGTTTCACTTAGCCTGTTTTGAAGGTTCATCATATTGGAGCATGTATCAGAATTTTATTTCTTTACATATTTGAATATATGACATTGTATAGCTATACTTTATTTTATGTATACATTTCTTTCCCATTAATCAGACATTTGGGTTGATTCCGTTTTTTGGCTATTATAAAGCATGTTGTTATGCATATTAACGTACAGGTTTTTGTGTGAACCTATGTTTGCATTCTCTTGGGTATACACCCACAAGTGGAATTGTTGAGTCATAGAGTCACTGAATGTTTAACTTTTTGAGGAATGCCCAGAATGTTTCCCAAAGTAGCTGTACCATTTTACATTTCCATTTCCTGCACTAGTGCATGAGGGTTCTAATTTCTCCATCTTCTTATCAGTACTTCTTATGTCTTTTTAAAAATTATAGCCAACCTAGTAAGTGGTAGGGGGCATCTCATTATGGTTTTGATTTGTATTTTTCCGAAAACAAATGATGTTGAGTGTCTTTTTTAATGTGCTTATTGACCAACTGTATATTTTCTCTCAAGTAACATCTATTCAGATCTTTGTCCATTTAAAAATGGAGTTATTTGTCTTTTTATTATTGAGTTGTAAGAGTTCTTTATGTATTCTAGATTCAGGTCCCTTATTTGCAAATATTTTCTCCCATTCTGTGGTTTATCTTTCACTTTCTGTAAGGTGTCCTTTGAAGCACAAAAGTCTTTACTTTTTAACTTTTATTTTAAGTTAAGGGATACATGTGCAGAATGTGCAGGTTCGTTACATAGGTAAACATGTGCCCTGGGGGTTTGTTGTATTTATTATCTCATCACCCAGGTATTAAACCTAGTATCCATTAGTTACTTTTCCTGATTTTCTTCCTCCTCCCACCTTCCAGTCTCTAATAGGGCCCTCTATCATGTGCTGTTCCCTTCTAAGTGAGCCTATGTTCTCATCATGTAGCTCCTACTTATCAGTGGGAATGTGTGACACTTGGTTTTCTGTTCCTGCATTAGTTTGCTAAGGATAATGGGCTCCAGCCCCATACATGTTCCTGCAAAGAACATCATCTCATTCTTTTGCATGGTTGTATATTATTCCATGGTGTATATGTATCACATTTTCTTTATCCAGTTTATCATTAAGGAGCATTTGGGTTGACTGAGGTTTTTTTCATATATTGGTTGGCCGTATAAATGTCTTCTTTTGAAAAGTGTCTGTATCCTTTGCCCACTTTTTGATGGGGTTGTTTTTTTCTTTTAAATTTGTTTAAATTCTTTGTAGATTATGGATATTAGCCCTTTGTCAGATGGATAGATTGCAAAACATTTTGCCAATTCTGTAGGTTGCTTGTTCGCTCTGATGACAGTTTCTTTTGCTGTGCAGAAGCTCTTTAGTTTAATTCAATGCCATTTGTCAATTTTGGCTTTTGTTGCCATTGCTTTTGTGTTTTGGCTATGAAGTCTTTACCCATGCTTATGTCCTGAATGGTATTGCCTAGGTTTTCTTCTAGGATTTTTATGGTTTTAGGGCTTATATTTAAGTCGTTAATCCATCTTGAGTTAATTTTTGTATAAGATTAACAAAGGGATACAGTTTCAGTTTTCTGCATATGGCTAGCCAGTTTTCCCAACACCATTTATTAAACAGGGAATTCTTTCCCCATTGCTTGTTTTTATCAAGTTTGTCAAAGATCAGATAGTTGTAGATGTGTAGCATTATTTCTGAGGCCTCTGTTCTATTCCATTGGTCAATATATCTGTTTTAGTACCAGTGCCATGCTGTTTTGGTTACCATAGCCTTGTAGTATAGTTTGTAGTAAGGTAGCGTGATGCCTTCAGTTTTGTTCTTTTTGCTTAGGATTGTCTTGGCTATATGGGCTCTTTTTTGGTTCCATAGGAAATTTTAAGTAGTTTTTTCTAATTCTGTAAAGAAAGTCAGTGGTAGCTTGATAGGGATAGCATTGAATCTATAAATTACTTTGGGCAGTATGGCCACTTTCACAATATTGATTCTTCCTATCCATGAGCCTGGAATGTTTTTCCATTTGTTCGTGTTCTCTCTTATTTCCTTGAGCAGTGGTTTGTAGTTCCCCTTGAAGAGGTCCTTCACATCCCTTGTAAGTTGTATTCCTAGGTATTTCATTCTCTTTGTAGTAATTGTGAATGGGAGTTCACTCATGATTTGGCTATTATTGAAGTATGGGAATGTTTGTGATTTCTGCACATTGATTTCATATACTGAGACTTTGCTGAAGTTTCTTATCAGCTTAAAAAGATTTTGGGCTGAATGATGGGGTTTTCTAAATACACAATCATGTCATCTGCAAACAGAGACAATTTGACTTCCTCTCTTCCTATTTGAATACACTTTATTTATTTCTGTTGCTTGATTGCCTTGACCAGAACTTCCAATACTATGTTGAGTAGGAGTGGTGAGAGAGGGCATCCTTGTCTTGTGTCAGTTTTCAAAGGGAATGCTTCCAGCTTTTGCCTATTCAGTCTGATATTGGCTGTGGGTCTGTCATAAATAGTCCTTATTATTTTGAGATATGTTCCATCAATATCTACGTTTATTGAGAGTTTTTAGCATAAAGGGGTGTTGAATTTTATTGAAGGCCTTTTCTTCATCTATTGAGGTAATCATGTGGTTTTTGTCATTTGTTGTCTAAGTGATGGATTACATTTATTCATTTGTGTATGTTGAACCAGCCTTGCATCCCAGGGATAGAGCTGACTTGATCGTGGTGAATAGCTTTTTGATGTGCTGTTGGATTCAGTTTGCCAGTGTTTTATTGAGAATTTTCATATCGAAGTTCATCAGGAGTATTGGCCTGAAATTTTCTTTTCTTGTTGTGTCTCTGCCAGGTTTGGGTGTCCAGGATGATGCTGGCCTCATAAAATAAGTTAGAGAGCAGTATCACCTTTTTTATTGTTTGGAATCATTTCAGAAGGAATGGCACCAGCTCCTCTTCACACTTCTGGTAGAATTCGGCTGTGAGTCTGTCTGGTTCTGGGTTTTTTTTTTTTTTTTTTTTTTGGTTGATAGGCTATTAATTGCTGCCTCAACTTCAGAACTTGTTATTGGTCTATTCAGGGATTCAACTTCTTCTTGGTTTAATCTTGGGAGGGAGTATGTGTCCAGGAATTTATCCATTTCTTCTAGATTTTCTAGTTTATTTGGGTAGAAGTGTTTATAGTATTCTCAAGTGGTAGTTCATATTTCTGTGGGATCAGTAGTGATAATCCCTTTATCA